ATTCAAAGTGCAGAATGTAGCCCGGGGGGGTGGGGGACATGCGCGGGACATTCGTCTTGACGCCTGTCCTCCTCTCACGTGCACCTGGCACGTCTCTCTCCTCGTCAGTGCTCTGGCCTAGGGTTCTCTCTGTCCGTCGGGCCTTTGGCCCTCGACCCGAGGGGTGATAGTCGGGGTGCGTCGGGTTGCTCTCGGGCGCGGAGAGAACGCCCAACGAGACAAGTCCACAGAGGAGATCTGCGCAGGCGTTCGAAGCGCGGTTGCGCCTCCTCTCTCGTCGGCACAAGGCTATCGCGGCTGGATGGCTCGTCCCAGGCTGACTGCCCTGGGGAGTGAAGAGAGGAGTCGCACAACTTTTACATACAATCTTGTATGTGCGTCCACCAAAAAAAAGTCCACAGAGGAGCTCTGCATCGGTTCACCCGACGTGGGCATTCAAGTGTGCCGGTGTAGTCCCCAGTCGATTTCGCCAAACGACGTACGTTTTGCCAGGTACACGTGGTTGTTTCTGGACGTCGATCAGCTTTTCCGCCTGGGTGCATGGTGAGGAGGTGCCGCGCGCACCTGTGAAGTGCCCCGGGCAGCTTTCACCGAAAGCCGCTTTGCTAAAAGGTGATCTGCCAATTCTCGATCCGGCGACGACCGAGGGGGGGAAGTGAGAATGAGAAGGCCTTCTCAGAAGGTTCGGAAGTTCCGCGGCCTTCTGAGAAGTTTCCTAAGCACTTCTCGAAAACAAGCAGAAACTTATCAGAAGATGCGAGGGCTTTTGATAAGTCTCGCCGCCTTCTGACAAAGCCTTCTCCTTCTCATTTCTCCTGGCGGCGGGCGCGCCGGCACCTTGCCTGGCCTGCGGCGCGAGTTCTTTCTGGGCGCAGCCCTCTGCGAGAGGCCGCCGTCAAGAGCTCCGACCCACGCCGTGAAGGGGCTCGAAGCAGACAAAAACGGCGTAGAAAAAACTTTCGGCGCTCCGCGTGGATTTCTTGGATCCGCGCTGGGCCCTCCGGGCGGCACCTCTGGCGCCGCCTCTGGCGCGCTCCGCGCGCCGGGGAGGGGGGGTCCAGCGCAGATCCAAGAAACCCGCGCGGAGCGCCGAAAGTTTATGCTTATGCCGTCGTTTTCCCTCGAGACCCACCCCTAAGGGCGCGAAGACGATCATGCTCTGCGCGTCTCGGCCTGGGTCAGAAGGCTGCCCCTCCTCCCGGGTGGCCCCCGCGAGCGCGAAGACGACCGCGCGTCGCACACTGCGGGGGCGCGGTTCGCGGAGATAGGCGGTCCAGCCGACGCGGGAGGACTCGTGAGTGTTAAGTGTGCTCGCTCCGAGAAGGAGGGAACGCGGAGAGCGGCGCTGGGGGAAGGAATAGGAGAGAGAGAGAGAGAGGAGGCGGGAAGGAGGAAGGGGAGGAGGAGGAAGGGGGGGTTCTGGGAAGTTGGATACACGGGATGCGGCGAGAGCTGAATGCACATGTGGTCAGATGTTTCGTCAGCGCTCGGGCCTTCTATGACCGTTTAGGCCGGGTTTCCGCATGTGTACGTAACGTATCCAGCGCGTGGCCTCCGGATATTCCACGTGTGAACCTCACCGTTTTGGTGTCTCTCTTCCTGGTAGTGGGGAGTGGTGGGAAGGGAGCGTGGACCGAGGTATTAATGTATTACCTCTGACCTCCCGTCTGCTGTTTCCAGCTTCCCTTCAGTGTTTCTTGTTCCACTGGTCTTGAACTGCTGCTAGCTCATCCTCCTGCATGCCCGGTTCGAATTTCAGAGAACCAGTTCATTCATGCCACTCCCCCCGTCAGGGGGCGCTATGATAAACTGTGGGCATACCCGTATATAGCATGCTCTTGCGTTTGCCACGTGTTGTAGCGAGGCCCGGTTGCGCTGATGATGGCGATCAGGTTGATCATGATCATGATGTCCATGGTGATGACGACGGCATGGCGATGACGAGCACCTTGTGATGGCGTGTCATGGAGACCCAGCAAGACGCGCCACACTGCCTGTTCCAGCTCAGCACACAGCGCTGCATAACACACACACAGTTGCACGATCTTGCCGTAAAGCACGCGAATGGCTAACACGTCAACGTGACGAAGTCTGACATTCTATTTTCCTTATAAGGGGGTCGTGGGTCCCTCAAGATTTTTCCGCAGCTGTTCCAGCTCCAGGTTGGACCACAAGAAAAAAACACCTTTCGCGAAGAGGCGCTTCCTTTGCCGCTCTTTTCCCGCTGGCACCATGACGTTTGTGTTGCTCGCAGCCTTGGCGATCCTTGTTCGTACTGCCATCGCAGATCGCGTGAACACTGCCCTGGAGATCACGGGCGACACGCGCGTGAAGGCTGTGCGTTCCACTCAGGTCCAGGAGATGTCGGAGATCAGGCGCCACATCCGTGAGCTGCACAAGCGGGTCGGCAAGCTCGAGGCTGCGCAGCTGGGCGAGGACACGATCACGCTTCAAGGCACGTCTGCCGAGGGCCAGGGCGTGAACACGACGTCCAAGACGCACGTGGCAGGTGTGCTTGGCGCACGGGCCGGCGACCAGGAGCAGGGGCAGAAGCGAGTCGATGGTGTTTGTTGTGGCCAAGTTGACCCCAGTGCGCGCAGGAAAATGTACACTGACTTCAAGTGGAAGGCAGGGGACGTGTGCAAAAAAGCGTGGCACAACACTCATGTCGACCAGGTCGACGATGTGTGTTGCAACGAGCGCAGCCGGACGCCCGGAGCTATCACCAGGTCCGACTGGTCTACAGATTGCATGCCAGATGGCAGTCCACGGGCAACAAGACGGTCATGCTGGACATACCACAGGGCCGCACTCAAAGACGACACCAGTTGCTATCCCAAGGGCTGCGCCCTCTGCCGCCGTCACCGCAGGCTAAGCCATGCTGTGGCCATATCGTGGCAGTTTGGGGGGCCTTCTTGTGCAATTCGGGGCATCTTGGGGCCTCAGCCATCTTCGGGCCTTGTGGGGTCATCCTGGGCGATTTAGGCGGCGTGTCGAGGCGTTTTATGGACACCCTGGAGGCGCCTCAGGTAATCTCTCGTGGCCATCCCCGGGACGTTGTGAAACAATCTAGGACGTCCTGGGAGCGAAATGCGTGACAGGCAAACAGCACCGAACTTCGAACACGCTAGGGTGTCCAGTGTGCTCTGCGCCCTACGTAAGAGTGGCGCCTTGGGGCCCTCGTAGGCTGGGTTAGATACTTCTTGGGGCCATCCTCGGCCGCCTTGGGCTTTCAATCAAAGCCTTCTTCGCGGCCGTCCTGGGGCCTCTTGGGCCCTCCTTGCCGTCTGTTGGAGTCCCTACGGGGATGTTGGGGTAGCCCAGCCTGGCCAGGATGCTGGAACTCAAAATGGATGGCTTCAGTGATGCCGCGGGCCTCTAGCAGACAGCAGAAAGGAGAACCAACGAGACGAAGCGGGAAGCAATAAGCAGGGCAACAGACACTGGCAACACAGCAGACCAGCACAGTTTACGCAGCCTGACGGCCCCAAGGCGGCCCGCGTATTGCACAACAGATTTTGAACACGGCAACAGGGAGATGCAAGTTGGTTGGGTGACGAAAGACACAGACGGGGAGGACGCCATAGTTGCAAGCTTCTACGAGTACCAGCATTACGGATCATCGCACTGTGGCCCTGCGTATGATGCCAAGTTCCCTTTCCTGTCAGGATGCGAGTGCATGCCACGGTACGAAGAGAAGAATGGCCGCCAGCTCATGATGAAGGCCTGGTCGCCCAGCCGCAACGCAGCTACAGCTGTCGATCTGAGGTACGACTAGGCTGCCTTATAGGCGTCAGCTCAATACGTGCGTGAATGTGAAGGACGAGTGGTGATGTATCGATCAAGCTCTGTCCGCCACTTGTCTTGACATCTTACCGGCAGCGGGGCTTCGACTGCGCACTTGCAGCAGCTGTGCTGGCCCTCTCGCAAAAGGCCTGCTACTGTCTTGCCGGCCGTTTCCTGTTCCTCTCTGGGCGACGGAGGGGGGACGCAAGAGGAGGAGAGAGGGCGGAGGGAGCGAATGCGGAGAGAGGATGTGCCGGGAGGGGGAGATGGAGGAGGAGGAGGAGGAGGAGGAGGAGGAGGAGGAGGAGGAGGAGGAGGACTTACAACGCTACAGGCAGTGCTCCTGAAGTTCGCCTAACGTCAAACAGGAGGAGGGATCGGAGGAGGAGGCTGAGGAGTGAGGGAGGGAGGCAGGGCGAGGAGGGGAGAAGGGAGGTTGGGAGGAGAACGCGAGGAGAAGGGAGGGGGCGAGGGTGGAGAAGGGAGGGAGGGAGGGAGGACGGAGGAGGAGGAGGAGGACGGAGGAGGGGAGAAGGGATGGGGCCGAGGGTGGAGAAGGGTTCCTGGAGGTCTTCCGGAGGCCCCCGCTGGGCGCCCTGGCGGCCGAACCTCGGGAGAGGGAGAGGTAACGGTGCCGCTGCCCTTCCCTCGTCGCCACGGCCGGATTCGCCTCGAAGGTCTGGTCAGACATTCCTCGGAACAGATTAGCGAACACATGCCACATTTATCCGTCAACGCCTCCCCCAACGCCTCCCCCTCCCCCCAATGTTCAAAGTTTGCGGTGGGTCTGATAAGATGCACTTCGACCGCAGTCTCCCCCGCGCGTGCCAACATTGAGTTTGGGGGGGAGGGGGAGTGTTCAGTAATTGTTTCCCTCTACCGGATCAAGCACACTTGGAGGGGTCCAGGCAACAGCGGTGTGAATGTCTGTCGGTTTCCCCTCTCTCGTGCGGCCCTGTCGTGGTCGTCGCTCGAGGTGGCTTCCTAGCTCTCGGCGTGTTCGGAGGCTGCTGGCCAAGTTTGGCTCAAGCTCGTTGTGTCTCACGGCGTGCGTAGTGTGTTTTTCTCTCTCTCTCTCTCTCTCTCTCTTTTTTTTCTCTCTCTCTCTCTCTTCCCCTCTCTGTCCGTGGGTGTGCGTGTGGGGCTAGATTTCCCCCACCGTACCAGCATGTCCAGTGCAGCTGCATTCCACGTCGCACCGACGTTCGGCCTGCATGCTCCAGAACGCACACCACCAATGCCAAGGAGCACCATCGCAGGCACGTCATCTCTCGGCCAACATCAGAAGCAGCGCGAAGGCCCAGCACTGGGCAGCGGTCTTGAGCCTGTTGCGAAGTGCAACCGCGTCGCGAGTCGACGTCCAGTTGTCTGTCTACACTGTCGGTATGACCGCTTGCGCAAAAGGCCTGCGGTGGCAGCAGGTGCTGGCGCTGCTCCGGGAAATGCCGCAGGTGAGCCTCGAACCAGATCGCATCAGCTACACCTGCGCGATAGCTGCCTGCGAGAGGTGCAAGGAGTGGCAGCAGGCGTTGTCGCTGCTGAGGAACCTGCAGCAGGAAAACTTAGACACCAACGCAATAGTCTACAGCAGTGTCATGAGCGCGTGTGAGAAGGGCGGGCAGTGGCAGCAGGCGCTGTTGTTGCTCACGGAAATGAGGCACGAGAAGATAGAAGCGGATGTCATCTATACTACAATACTGGGCATTTGCGCGTGCGACAAGGGCGAGCGATGGTCACCCGCGGCGGCGCCTGGGGGGCCCCGCCGGTGGGGTGACGCCGTGCCAGCCCGGGACAGCCCCGGGACGGCCCATGAGAGCCCAGACGGAGGCCTCGAGAGTCTCCCAGGAGCCCCAGGACGGGCTCGGAGGGCCCCCACGAGCTTCCATGGAGCTCCCAGGGGACCGCCACGCAGGCCCCGAGGCCGCAAAACTATCGATATCCTCGAGGGTTTTGGACGTTTCCAGTGGTGCTCCTCCCGCCCGCCCCAAGACGCCCATCACAGCACCGCGGGCGTCCGAAATCGGGCCCATGCTGCCCGGGGGGCCTCCAAGAGAGTCCCCAAGACGGCCCCAGAGGCCCCCGACAGAACTCCTGGGGCCCCCAAGACGGCCCAAGAACCCCCCCAGACGGCCCCAAGGGACGCCCAAGAGGGTCCAGTTCGGAGCGCTTCCCCCCCCCTCCGGGCCCCTCCACGGCCAGCAAGGCTCCAAGACACCCCCGAGAGGCCCCCAGAAGGCCCCGGAGGCGCTCCCAAGAGGCGGGCGCTCTCCAGAGGCTCCCAGAAGGCTTCAGAGGCGCTTCCAAGAGCTCTCCAGAGGCTCCCACAGAGCCTCACGAAGACCCCCTCCCGGGTATTGGAGGGCCCCCCCGCCGCTTCCCCGATGCCTCCGCTGGGAACAGCCTGCTACAGCACGCGGCACTGCTGGCACGACAAGCAGCAGGCTGGACAGGAGGAAGGGGATAAGACGGAGCAGGGCGAGAGGAGGGGAGGAGGAGCATGAGGACGAGAACGACGGCAACGACGACGACGACGACGACGACGACGACGACGACCACGACGACGACGACGACGACGACGACGACGACGACGACGACGACGACGCCGACGACGACGACGACGACGACGACGACGATGACGACGACGACGACGACGACGACTACGAGGACGAGGACGAGGACGAGGACGAGGAGGACGAGGACGAAAAGGCCCCCGGGAGGCCCCCGGAGGTCCGCGTTGCTTCTGTTGTTGCTGGGGCTGCTGCTGCGGCTGTTGCTGCTGCTACTGCCGATGGTGCTGGAACTGCTGCTGCTGCTGCTGCTGCTGCTGGCGCTGCTCCAGACGCCGTCAGGATCATCAAGCAAACAGTGCACCCGGAAGCAATAAACAGCAACGAGCACACGCTCAATCCTCTGGCATTCGTGGACGGTATTCCACGGGTCAGCCCTAGTCAGCTACAGTGCTGGGATCAGCGCGTGCGAGAAAGGCAGGCAGTGGCGGCGGGCTTTGGCGCTGCTCAGTGGCATGCGGGAGGCGAGGTTGGAGCCCAATGCCATCATCAATATGGTCCGGCTTGAGTAAGCAACACTTACTTGTCAAAAGGGGCTCGGCCGTTCCTTTGGTTTGCATGCGTTCCGCTACCTTTTTGGCGGCGAGCCCCCCTGTTGTTCCTTCGGACTTCCTAGACCTACCTGGAACAGAAAGGGGCTTCGTTCCTTGTGTACCGTTCCTTAGGTCAGGCCGAATACTGCATGCTATGATGCCAGGCGCTGCGCTTAAGTCGGGCCTGTCCCCCTACAGGGAGATTTTCGACGAAAAATAGGAAAGAACGCAATAATCAAACAATAATCCAAAAAAGTCTGGGGACTATTTTTTGTATGTAGTATTTTGTGGACCTTTTTGGGGATTTGTTGGTATAGTTTCCATTTTTCGTCGAAAATCCTCCTGTAGGGCGACAGGCCCGACATAATGGAGGATGACGATTAATAAATGACCGGGGGTCGTGTTCCCGCGGCGGCGCCCGGGATGACGATTCGAAAAAACCGGCCGCGGGCTGGACAACTAGTTTTAAACATCGTTCTCCTCCAGTCAGAGACTTGTTCAGACATTGCAGAAAACTATTGTTTTAATCCTTTCCCCCCAATTTGTTTATTCATCGTCATCCCGCATTACCCTTGCTCTCCATGGCAGCTGCACGCGCCCTCCCGGGGCCTGGCCTGGGCCGACAGGCCCACGGCAGGCAGGCCACCGCGCGAGGCCCATAAAATACGAGAGCCTGCGCGGGAGGCCGAGCGCCCTCATTGGAGCCCGCTCCGCGCAGTAGCACTGCGCGTGCCAGAACGGGCCCCGTTGGTCACCCCCCTCCGCGGGCGCCTCCGCGGCGCTTCTCGCGGCTCCGCGCGTGGGGCGCCCACGTCCTGCCCCAAGGAGGAGAGCCCCGCGAGCACCGCGAGGGGCCCTCCGAGCGCCCCTCTCTGCAGCGCAAGACCTCCTCCTCCTCCTCCTCCTCCTCCTCCTCCTCCTCCTCCTCATGTTCCTCCTCCTCCTCGTCGTTCTTCTCCTCCTCCCCCTCCCTCTCCTCCTCCTTCTCCTCCTCCTCCTCCTCCTCCCCTTCCTCCTCCTCTTCCTCCTCCTCCTCCTATAGATTCGGGCCCTCAGGGAGAGCCCCGCGAGCACCGCCAGGGGCCCTCCGAGCCCCCCTCTCTGCAGCGCAAGGTCCGAGGCGGGAACTTACACCTTAGGCGATGCTTAAGAAAACTTACGTTTTCGGCCAGAGTCTCGATTATTCTTAATGTTTCAACGTAAACCCTAAGATTTTAATAGAACTTTGGGGTTTCAAGTTCTGAGGCTATGAATTTCTTAACCCATGATTTCTTAAGTATTTCGCAGGGTGTATGCGATGACCACCGCCTGGAGGATCCATTTTCGGGGACCTCGGCAGGCGGTGGATATGGATAGATTCGGGCCCCGGGGGGCCAACATATATCCTCTCCCTCCTCTCTTTTTGCCCCGCAACGTCCTGCCCCAAGGAGAGCCCCGCGAGCACCACGAGAGGCCCTCCGAGCGCCCCTCTCTGCAGCGCAAGGTCCGAGGCGGGAACTTATGCGATGACCACCGCCTGGTGGATCCATTGTCGGGGACCTCGGCAGGCGGTGGATATGGATAGATTCGGGCCCCGGGGGGCCAAAATAGATCCACAGCCGCCGCCCGCTGGGGCACCAGGTCGACGGTTCCCAGGCGGTGGATGTGGTTCAACCCCCGCCTCGCACAAGAGGGCTCCCAGACGAACGACGCCCAGCCCGAAAATCCTCCCACATCGTCCAGAGGGCGCCAAGGGAGCTCCCGATGGAGTCCCTACGACGGCCCAGGAGACACTCAAGACTGCTCCGGAGACTCTCCAGACGGCCGAACAGCCCCTCAACAAGACGGCCAACTCTGGAGCACTCCCCCCCCATCCCGCCCCCACCACGGCCAGCAAGCTCCCAAGAAGCCCCCCAGAGGCTCCCAGACTGCCTCCAGGACACTCCCCAGAGACTCCCTGGAAGCCTCCAGCAGCTCCCTCGAAACGGCTCTGACATGCTCCTAGAAGGCCCATGACTGGAAACACCACACCCCACAGGCTCCCAGAGAGCCTCCAGCAGCTCCCTTCAAACGGCTCCGAAAAGCACCCGGTGATCGGACAAAAGCCACACCCCACACCTCTTGGGACACCTCTCGCGCGGAAGGGGCTGCAGAAAATAACTTTCCGAACCAGCCGCGGACACCCGGGAACGCTGTTTCTGCGACCCCTCCCGCGCCGAGCGTGTTCCAAGAGGTGTGGGGTGTGCGAAGAAGGCGGGGCCCGGGAAAGCGCTCTGGCGGCCCCTGCGAGCTCCAGGAGAATTCCGGACGTTCCAAGAGGGTCCAAGATCGCTCAGAGACGCTCCTGGACGCCCCCAAGAGGGCCCCAAGACGGTCCCAGACGGTTCAAGAGAGCCTCCGAGACGGTTCACGACGTTCGAAGACGCCCAAGATAGCTTCCAAACGGCCCAAGATAGCCTCCAAACGGCCCAAGAGGCCCTCAAAACACTCCCAGTGGGCTCCGAGACAAGCCCCAAGAGAGCCCGAACAAGGAAGCATCGTCCCAATCCTTAGAGAAAACGTATACATTTCGGCAATTCCCATGCGTTTCGTCTTCCAAGCATCCAAGACGGCCATTCAGGACCCCAAGATCGCCTCAAGACGCCTCAGAAGGCCCCCATGAGGGCCCCAAGACAACCCAAGACGACCCCAGGAGGGCTCCTGAGGCGCCCATGACAGCCCAAGAGACACCCAAGACAGCTCCAAGAAAGTCACAGACGGCCCAAGGCGGTCCAAAGACGTGCCCGGAGACTGCGCGCCCAGGACAACCCCAGACGAGTTCAAAACAGCCCAAGAACCACCCCGGGACAGCCCCAGAGGGCCGCGAGAGGCCCTACAGTGCCGGAAGACGGCCCTTTTTTCTTGTGGCATCTTCGAGCCCAGTCAGAACAGGGCGCAGCCGGACTTGCACAGAGGAGGAAAGGAGGAGGAGGAGGAGGAGGAGGAGGAGGAGGAGGAGGAAGAGGAGGAGAGGCGAGCTCAGCAGGCTCGCGCGGGCGTCACAGCGGACCGCTGATGACGCCGCCGGCGGTGGTGACGGCGGATCCCGCCATCAGGGGAAGACCCCGAAGAGGCCCCCAAGAAGGGCTCCGAGAGGCCAACATCACGGATCTTCTACTGTTCTGGAAGGGCTTCGGCGCTCTCGCCTTTTTTCGGGACCTCCGCGCTCCGAGCCAGCCCCCTGGGGCCCAGGATCGCGCCAAGCTGACCCAAAGAGGCCCCCCAAGAGAGCTCCCAGGCAGCGCTGGAGGGCTCCAAGACGGCCCAAGAGGCCCCCAAGACGGCCCCAGACGACCCCAAGAGGGCCCCTATGAGGGGGAACTCGAAGTGACATTTCCAGGTTGATCTCAGAAGCCGCCAGCAAGCCCCCATGAGACCCACAGACGCCCCAGAAGGCGCCACAGTGCCGGAAGACGCCCCAAGAGGGCCCCAAGAGAGGCCCTCAAGGTGGGCCCCGAGAGGCCGACATCATGGATTCCCAATTGCTTTTGAAGGGTTTCAGCGTTCCCGCCTTTTCGGAGTCTGCTTGCTCCAAGCCAGACCCGAGGCTCCGAGATCGCGCTAAGATGGCCCAAGAGGCCCCCAAGTGAGCTCCCAGACAGCCCAAGAGGGCCCCGAGACGGCCCAAGAGGCCCCCAAGAGAGCTCCAAGACAGCCCGAGAAGGCCCCACGACGGCCCAAGAGGCCCCCAAGACGGCCCAGGAGGCTCCAAGAGGCCCCACGAGGGGGAACTCGAACTGACATTTCGCGCCCTCCGCTCCAGGACGATCCCAGAAGCCGCCAGTTGGCCCCCAAGAGGCCCCCCAGACGCTTCAGAAGGCGTCCCAAGAGGCCCAAAACAGGTCACTAGAAACCTTCGAACGTCTGCAAGACACCCCCAAAACCGTCTCCAAGAGGCTTCCGAGGTAAGTTCTATCAGAAAGCTCTGGGACCGCGCCGCCACCCAGGAAACTAAGGCGCCCGTGCGCCTCTGATTTTCTCCACTCCTTGGCAAAGGCTCCGTCTGAATCTCTCGCCTCTTCGGAGTCCCGACGCTCCAAGCCAGCCCCAGGGCTCCCAAGATCGCGCCAAGATGGCCCAAGAGGCCCCCAAGAGAGCTCCAAGACAGCCCGAGAGGGCCCCACGACGGCCCAAGAGGCCCCCAAGACGACCGAAGACGGCCCCAACAGGGCCCCACGAGGGGGAACTCGAACTGACATTTCGCGCCCTCCGCTCCAGGATGATCCCAGAAACCGCCAGCTGGCCTCCAAGAGGCCCCCCAGACGCTTCCAAAGGCCCCCCAAGAGGCCCAAATCAGATCCCAACAGGCCCTCGACAGGCCCCAAGACACTCCCAAAACCGCCTCCACAAGGTTTCCGATTGAAGGTCCCTGAGAGAGATCTGGGCCCGCGCCGGCCACCCACGAAAACAAAGCGCCCATACGCCTCTTAGTTTCTCCCCGTCTGTGCAAAGGTTCGGCCTGACTGGGCGACTCGTCGGGGAGTTCTCCCTGAGAGTGCTCCAGACAGGTCGGCCATTGGGGGCATGCTCCGCAGTGCCGTCAAGTTTCTCCCGGACCCACACAGCACGCGCTCATCTTCTGACCTCGGGCGGCCACAGCCACCATGGAACATCGTTGGAAAATGAGGCCCGCTGTTGCTCCTCAATTTCCAGCCTTGGCCCTAATACGGCCTCAAGGTGACTCAAGATCATCTTGGGGCGGCCCAAAACGCACCCACTACCCGTACGGCAGCAGCACGAAACACGAAGCAGGCAAGCGGCAGCGGCAGCGGCAGCGGCAGCACACAACAACAGCAAGCAGCAGCAGCAGGTATCGGTCAGCAGCACGCACGCACCAAGCAGACGTGGCCATCAGCAGCACCCTGCAATCACCAACAGCAGGCAACATCGGCAGCAAGTAGCAGCACGCAGTAGCATGCGCCGAGTGCGAGGTTCGAGCCCCGCGTGATAATTTCAGCTTTTTGGCAGCATGTCCACAATCCGTGCCAGTTCGTGCAGATTTCGTGGACGGAGTCCACGGGTCATTCCTAGTCAGCTACAACGCTGGGATCAGCGCGTGCGAGAAATGCGAGCAGTGGCAGCGGGCTCTCCTGCAGCTTGTCGAGATGTGCGAGGCGACCGTGGAGCCCAGTGCCATCTCTTCTAAACTTGAGGCCTCCGCACGTGCCAGAAGAGTCCTGCATCGAATGGGTGTCGGAGCCTCCAGAAAGCAGAAGAAACCCAGAAAATGCTCCAGGCGCCACCCAGAGCAGTCCTGGGGGCCCCTGAAAGTCTCGGGGGCTTCTCGAGGGCCCCCCGAAGAGTTACCAGGCGGCCCTGTGGAGCCCGCGCAGAGCTTCACGCTGCTCTACAGCGCTCCTGGAGCGCCTCAAGATGACGCCGATGTGTAGCGGCTCCACGAAGGCTCCGCTGAAGGCCCCTTACAGGCGGACGCAGTGGCATTCCAGTTGCTGTGCGTTTTCACGACCTCCCACCTCTCAGATCCAAGTCGCTCCGCGAGGGGCCCAGGGCACCTCTCAGCAGGTCCCTGAGGCGCACGGAAGCCCCCTGGCGTGCCCATGCAAGCCCGCGAAGATGGCGCCAGAGGGCGCCGGCGTCCTCCAAGCTGGACCCAAGACGGCCCCAAGACGGCGAAAGGTCGGTCCCATATGGCCCGAAGGCTTCCCCAGATCTCGCCCCTGGACCTCCCACAACCAAATCCAGAGCCCCCAAGGGACACCCAAATGACCCCAGGAGGCGCGGAAGGGTCCCGAGAGAGCCAAAGAAGCACCGACGAGGGCCCCACGGAAGCTTCACGATGAGCCCCAGAGGGCCCCGGCGAGCGACCCCACCAAGGGAGGATTGCATGTGAGGGCGGCCCCAATTTGGCTACTCCAGATTTCGTAATAAAAGGGACGGGGTCTGGACCCTCCAAGACGAGCCATTTCAGACCCCCCCCCCCGTGGGAGAGCCCTCCAAAACGTCGTCCCCAGACCCCCCCAGGCCCTCCAAGATAGCCTGGAAGAGACCCCCCCCCGAAATGAGACCCCCCTCCCTTTATTACGAAATCCGGAGTATATAAGGGCCTCATCAACGTCCCACCGGTGCGCTCTTCATGGCCTGCGCGCCGCCTTCCTGGCACGAGCCCCTCGCCCGCTCCACGGTGGAGCCCGCGGAGTCATCCTCGTCGTGGCCCTTTGGGGGAATTGGTGAGCTCTGCGCGGCGTCCTCCACCGCCGACGATTCCCTCCAAGATGCTCGGGAAGTTCCTCGCCATCGACGTCGTCCGACGGCGTCGACGCCGCCGCCACCGCCGACGTCGATGCCGACGACGACTCTGACGATTCCGACGACTCTGACGACGACGACGACGACGACGACGTTGACGTTGACGACGACGACGGCGACGACGCTGGCGACGACGTCGACGACGAAAACGACAACGACGACGACGATGCCGACGCCGACGACGACGACGACGACGACGACGACGACGACGACGACGATCGGGCCTACCGCCATCGTGAAAGGTCCTTCGGTCCGAACACCTTCTTTGGGTATACTCCGAGGCAGGTTGGCCACAGGCCAGTCCTGGTCAGCTACAGCGCTGGGATCAGCGCGTGTGCGAAAGGCGAGCAGTGGCAGCGGGCTGTGTCGTTGTTCAGCGGCATGTGCGAGGCAAAGCTGGCGCCCACCGTCATCAGCTACAGCGCTGGGATCAACGCGTGCGCGAAGGGCGAGCAATGGCAGCGGGCCTTTGTTCTGCTCAGAGAGATGCGGGAGGCAAGATTAGAGCGTAGCGTCATCTGCTGCAATGCCGCGATCAGCGCGTGTGAGAACAGCAAGCAGTGGCAGCGGGCTGTGGCGCTTCTCAGCGAAATGCGGGAAACGAAGCTGGAGCCCACCGTCACCTCTTCTACGATGTAGCGACCTTTGCGTGCGAGAAGGTTTGTGTCCCGAAAGGCTCCCCTGGCCCTCCGGGGCGTCCTGCGAGTCCCCTGGGCGCTCCGATACGGCTCCGGGGTGCCCCAACATGCCCCAAGACGGCCCCAACATGGCTTGGAGACGCTCAAGAGGGCGCCAGGCCAAGAGGCTCCCGAGACGGCGCAGGAGGACCCCCAGGAGAGCCACAAGAGGCAAAAAATCGTCCCAATACCTTCAGAAAACGCGTATGTGTCAAATGTCCGTTCTTTTCGTTTGCAGAGTCTCCGAGACGGCTGTACAGGCCCGCAAGATCGCCCCCACACGCCCCCAGACGCACCCAGGAGGGTCCCAAATGGGCCCGATACGGCCCCGGGACGGCTCCGGAGGCGCCCGAGACGGCCAAAGAGATACCCAAAACAGCCCAAGGAGCGCACAATCCAGACGCCTCAAGAGGACCCCAAGCGAGCTCCAGGATGGTCCCAGAGGCTCCCAAGGCAGGCGAAAAGCCTCCCGAAACGGCCCAGGAGGACCTCCAGCAGAGCCCAGGAGGCAACCATCGTCCCAGTCCATTCGTAAAACGTATCTTTTGAATATGGTCGTTCTTTCCGTTAGCTGTCTCCAAGACGGCTTTATTGGCCCCCAAGATCGCGCCAAGACTCCTCCAGCCGCCCCCAGGAGGGCCCCCAAACGGCACGAGACGGCCCCGAGACGGCTCCAGAGGCGCCCGAGCGAGACGGCCCAAGAAGCACCCAAGACAGCCCCAAGAGCGCCCAATAACGACCCAAGATCTGCCGAAAACGGCCCCAAGATGGCCCGAGAGGCCCAAGACGGCCCCACATCGCCCCAAGACGGCACAAGAGGCACTCAAGACGGCCCAAGAGGCCCCGAGAGACCCCCAGGAGGACGCAAAGAGGCCCCCAAACGGCTCCCAAGAGGCCTTGGATGCTTCTCTCTTGGGGAGCGTCGACCTTCCAGCGTAGTCTTGGGGGCTTCTTGGACCCTCTGGGAGCCATCTCTGGGTCTTTTGGGGACGTCTTGGGGTGGTGCGCTCGACAGGTCGATTCGTGTCCTCGCACTGGGGGCCCGTCTTAGAGAATTCGTGGGGCCCTCCTGGGCCGTCTGGGAAGCCTCTTAGCCCGTCCTGGAGACCTCTTGGGCCGTCTCGGCGCCCTCTCGCGGGCCTCGTACGCCGCGCCCACCAGCCTCATTCTCACCACACTACCAGATTAAATTGAGTAGCACTCCGCAGATGCGGATACGAGTGAGGGTGCGGTGGGGACGTCGGCAGTCTGCGAGACTTTGGAGAAGCCCGTCGCACGCGCCAGAGTTTCACAAATTATGCGACGAGCCCGCCGCAGGCGCCAGTTTTTTCTTCACGCCAATGTGGATCGGTCGCGGGTGGGTCGCGGGTGGGTCGCGGGTAGGTCGCGGGGTGGGTCGCGGGGTGGGTCGGGGTGGGTCGCGTCGGGTGGGTCGCGGATGGGTCGCGGGATGAGCCGCGGGTGGGTCGCGGTGTGGGTCGCGGGTGGTCGCGGGTGGGTCGCGGGTGGGTCGCGGGGTGGGTCGCGGGTAGGTCGCGGGGTGGGTCGCAGCGTGGGTCGCGGGGTGGGTCGCAGGGTGGGTCGCGGGGTGGGTCGCGGGGTGGGTCGCGGGTGGGTCGCGGGGGGGGGCGACGATAACAAACAACAGCAACAACAACAATCAGTTTAAGATTGTTCGCTCTTATCTGCTCGAGTGTCCGTTAACGCGTATTTCCCACACCTTCGATACCCGCCCTCTTTGTCGTCGATCGTACCCCTTTTGGGGGTTATACTTTTCTTCCCTGCAGGCCGAGCCCCGGCAAGCGGCGGGGCGGCCGCGGACCGTCGGCCCGGCCAGCGGCAGCGCTGATCGGCGGCAGCCCGACCCCAAGAGGGACGGACAGGGGACCGACCACGGCGACGACGACGACGACGCCGACGACGACGCCGACGACGACGACGACGTCGACGACGGCGACGACGGCGACGACGACGAGCGAAAGCGAGAGCGAGAGCGAGAGAGAGAGAACGACAGCAGGGCCACGAAGGGCACGAAGTAGGCCACGAAGGGCGACAGCGGGGACACGAAGGGAATGCGTATGGGGCCACGGAAAGCGCGAACGAGCGGGGGCCGCGAAGGGCAGATAATGCGGGGCCACAGAAGGTAACGACGGGGCTACTCAGGGTAGCAAGTGGGCCACGTAGGACAGCGAGGGGGCCACGAGGGCGACGGCGGGGCCGCGAAGGGCATGCACATGGGGGCACGACGGGCGCGAACGAGCGGGGGCCACGAAGGGCATGCGTATGTTGGGCCGCGAAATGCAAGTATGGGGCCACTGAGGGCAGCAACGGGGCCACGAAGGGCAGCGAGGGGGCCACGAAGGGCCGCAACGGGGCCACGAAACAAAGCGAGGGGGCCACGAAGGGCTGCAACGGGGCCACGAAACAAAGCGAGGGGGCCTCGAAGGGCTGCAACGGGGCCACGAAGGGCAGCGAGGGGGCCACGAAGGGTTGCAACGGGGCCACGAAACAAAGCGAGGGGGCCACGAATGGTTGCAACGGGTCCACGAAGGGCAGCGAGGGGGCCACGAAGGGCTGCAACGGATCCACGAAGGGCAGCGAGGGGGCCACGAAGGGCTGCAACGGGGCCACGCAGGGCAGCGATATCTCGATTCTTAAATAATATGTGAGGGAACCCTAAGCGTGAGCGCGATTTCTGGGTGCGTGAGTATCGGGAGCGCGGCGCTTGAGTAAATTGCAGGAAATTCCAACGCAAAGGGCGTTATTCTTGAGTAGATTGCAAGCAAGTCTCCAGCGAGAGCGCGACTCCAGAGCGCCGAGAGAGCGAGTCCGGAATAAATTGTAAGGAAGTCCCAAGCGAGAGCACGATTCCTGAATAACATGCGAGGAAGTCTTGGGCGGGAGCGGGGGTCCTGGTCAAATTGTGAAGAAGTCTCAGGCGGGAGCCGTTGTTGTTGTGGTAGCCCAGAGGCGAACAACACAGTTTAAGGAGGATGACTTTTCTGGTAAAAAAAGGATGCGAGCGCTGGGAGGGGCATTTCAATAGAAAAAACCATGTGCACCGGAGGGGGTGGGATCAATAATAATTGTTCTTCAGCCGTGTAAATTCAACAACAACAACAACAATAACAACAACACCAACAACAACAACGCAACAGACATATGTAATCCGAACCACGGATTCTCACTTCAACCACGCACACAGGGACAATGAATGACCGCTCGGCCCCCTCACTCTGATAATTCGGCCCCGGCGAAGAGCGGATCAAATTATCACGGCGCCCCGCCCCGCAGAAACTATGATGAACACAGAGCGCGGCGTGAAAAACAGCTTCTGTCCACTCCACGTCGTGCTTGCATGGGTGTGCTTCCATTGGCACCGCTTCCACCCCGTTCCTGCCTTGAGGGCTGATTGCCTGCATCCCTCGCCGACCTCCCCCCCCCCAGCGGCCACTCCTCCATCTACGCCGTCTCCTCCAAACCCTCCCCCTCCGCGAAACCCCGGAGACGCTCCACTTCCACTTCCACGCCATGGCGGGCAGATTCCGCGGCCGGAAGGCCGCGGGTCAGCCTTAGTAGCTACAACGCTGGGATCAGCGCGTGCGAGAAAGTAGGGCAGTGGCAACGGTCCCTTGTGCTGCTCAGAGAGATGTGGGTGGCGAAGTTGGAGCCCGATGTCATCGATACTGCAATGCTCGAGTCAGTGCGCGCGAGGTTGCGCTGCCGTAGCTCGGCCTGGGGCGGCTCCCAGCGTTCCCGGCGCATCCCGGCGCTCCCGGGGCGGTCCTGGACGGCCCTGGACGGTCGCCCGATGGCTCCAAGACGTCCAACGACGGCTCTGAGACGCACAAGGCCCAAGTCGCTCATTTTCAATTGTTTTGGCCGGATTCTCATGTTCCCAGAACTTCGCCCCAAGAAGAACGGCTCCAGACGGCTCCCAGCGCCTGCAAGATCGCCCCATCATTGCCCACCTCGCTCCCAAGAGGGGCCCTGCAGGGCCAACGGAGGCCCCAAGATGGCCCAGGAGCGCCCGAAGACGGCCCCATCGAGCCCTTCTCCCTCCCAGTTTCTTGGCCCTCTTCACCGAGCAGTGGTGAGGGGTGCGCAGATTCGCGTCGCGTCGACGAGGCGGCGACCTCTGCGCCATCGTCGAGAGCTCCACTCCGACACTGGTCCAGAATCGACCGCCGTGACCGATCCCGCGATTTAAAAGCTGCAGGTCGTGCAGGTTTGAGCGTTCTACGCGGTGTCCAGAGTCAAGAGCGACAGCGCAGCTCGTCACGACAGGAACTCCCCATACCGATTCCCTCCTCCACGGAGTCGCTGCCGCGGCACGCTCAGGCGCTCTGAGGGCCTCCGCCTGCACTCTTGTCCTCATTCCCGTTCTCCCACGAGCTTCACGAGCGGGTCGGTTTCGACGTCCTGTTCTGTGGATTATATCCACGGCTTGCGAGTCCCAGGTTCAGCAAATCGTTGATTTCTTCCACGGGTTCATTTTCTTCAGCTACAGCGCTTGGATCAGTGCCTGCGAGAAACGCGGGTGGTGGCAGCAAGCGTTGTCATTGGTCATGAAAATTTGGGATGCGAGATTGGAGCCCAGCATCATCAGCTACAGCGCTGGGATCAGCGCGTGCGGCAAAGGCACGCAGTGGCAGCAGGCGTTGTCGCTGTTCACCGAAATGGTGGAGGTGAAGCTGGAAGCCGACACCATCGGCTTGAGCGCTGGGATCAGCGCGTGCGAGAAAGGCGAGCAGTGGCAGCGGGCTCTCCTGCTGCTCTGCGAGATGTTGGCGGCGAAGTTGGAGCCCACCGTCATCACCCTCAACGCTGCGATCAGCGCGTGCGAGAAAGGCGGGCAGTGGCAGAGGGCCGTGGCTCTGCTGAGTGGCATGTGGGAGGCGAAGATGGAGCCCACCGTCATCAGCTACAGTGCTGGGATAAGCGCTTGCGGAAAAGGCGACCAGTGGCAGCGGGCCGTGGCGCTGTTGAGCGAGATGTGGGGGACGAAGTTGGAGCCAAACGTGGTCAGCTACAGCGCTGGGGTCAGCGCGTGCGAGAAAAGCAACCAGTGGCAGCAAGCGTTGTCCTTGCTCGGACATTCGTTGCAACTGCAGTTGGAACCAGACGCTAATATGTACAGTAATGTAATTGGGATTTGCGAGAGAAATGGGCAGGTACCCCGTATGGGGGCAGGTGATGTTCTTGCGCCAGGAAGCCTGGTGGGCGAAGCTGGCAATTCAAAATTTCAGAGCGGGCTGATTGTCTGGATCAGGAGAACTGGCTTGTCAGTTGGCACGATATGATGTGCGATGCGGAGTTGGATCCCGAAGTCATCATCCACATCGTTTGGTTCAGCGCGTGCGTGAAAGGCGGGCAGTTGTACCCGTGTCTTGCTCACAGACGTGTGGAAGGCGAATTTGGTGCCCAGCGTCATCTATACTACAATACTGGGTATTTGCGCGTGCGAAAAGGGCGAGCGATGGTCACCCGCGGCGGCGCCCTAGGGGCTCCGCCCGTGGAGTGACGCCGTCAGGGCCCGGGACAGCCCCGGGACGGCCCATGAGGGCCCCGACGGAGGCCTCGAGAGTCCCCCGGGAGCTCCCCAGCGAGCCCGAGAGGGCCCCAGGACGGGCTCGGAGGATCCCCACGAGCTTCCACGGAGCTCCCAGGGGACCCGAGGCCGCAAAACTTGTGATATTCTCAGGGGTTTTAGACGTTTCCGGTGATGCTCCTCCCGCCCGCCCCAAGGCGCCCACCACGGCACTGCGGGCGTCCGAAATCGGGCCCATGCTGCCGGGGGGGCCTCCAAGAGAGTCCCCAAGACGGCCCCAGAGGCCCCCGATCGAGCTCCTGGGGCCCCCAAGACGGCCCAAGAACCCCCCCAGACGGCCCAAGGGACGCCCAAGCGGGTCCAGTTCGGAGCGCTTCCCCCCCCTCCGGGCCCCTCCACGGCCAGCAAGGCTCCAAGACGCCCCCGACAGGCCCCCAGAAGGCCCCGGATGCGCTCCCAAGAGGCCCCCGGGCGCTCTCCAGAGGCTCTCAGAAGGCTTCAACGAAACCTGGAGGACAGCAGTTTCAGAGATGTGGGAGACTGCCGAAGGCCATATTTTTGCCGGATCTGCTCATGATCAGCCCTCTCACGGGGTTGGCGTGTTGGTTCACAAACGATGGGGCAAACACATCAAACAGTTCCAAGGTGTTAGCGCTAGGCTTGCAGCGCTCCACATACGGCGGGGCTCATTCAAATTGGTGTTAGTCGCAGCGTATTTCCCGCACACGGGATACAGTGACCAACATGTGGAGCAACTGTACACGCTGATTTCTGCATTGCACGCCGAAGCTCGCGAACAAACACATCATGTTATTGTGGCTGGAGACTTTAACGCCTGGATTCAATCGAACCCATGCGGCACGACGACTATGCCGACGACGACGAGCCTAGGACTGACGCCAGGCACATCGGGCATCACGCGTATGGGAAGTGTGATTCGAGAGGGGCTTGGCTACGTGCGTGGGCGTCTAAGGAACGTCTTGTTATCACGAATACATTTTTTCGCAAGCCAGTGGGGCAGCAAGTAACTTACACTCACAGCAATGGCTCCGAGAAGCAGTTCGACTACATCCTTGCCTCCAGGCGCCTATTCCGACAATGCCGCAACGTGGAGGCGAACAACGCAGTGGATTTAGGTTCAGATCACAAGGCCGTGGTTGCGCAATCCTGCTTCCAGCGACGCATCTCCACTGACCGGCATACGCACGACGAACAGCACCAGCCCAAGCACACATCACGACACACGACCGCCCGCAGTTGGGCCCACGTCAACGTTGAGGCGTATCACACAACGGCCAAAGACGTTATCTCTGCAGCAGACCTACCCCGACCGCCAGAAGAGCTCAGCAACCATATTGAGACATCCATGTTGGAAGCAACGACAAAAAGCATTGCGGAGCTGGCGCAACTGAGACCGCACCTCTCGACCAACGTACACCTCCAAGCGCTGATCCAGCAGAGGCGCAACATCCCGAATGACAATACACAGTCCCGAGGCGACGTCAGCAAGCAAATCCGACAAGAGATACGACGGCAAAACCGAGCAACACGACGTACGCAGATCAGCACCATACTCGAGGACTACCGTGGACTCAAGCGCATTACGACCATTAAATCAGGGCGGAAACGATAACTAATCACGGAAATGCGCGGCAAGGACGACACGAAGCATACCAGCAGAGACTCAATTTCGAACGTCTTTGCAGATTTCTACGAGCAGTTGTATCACTCCACTCGACAATCTTCACCACCTGAGCCTTCTGAAGACACGGCGCCGCCTTTTACAATCCACGAGCTCAACAGGGGACTGTCCAACACCCGACACGATCGGAATCAGAGATGAAATGTTGAAGCATGCACCCACAGAGCTCACACGAGCCGTACTCCAATTATACAACACTGTCATACAAGCCGACGCGCCTACTCCGCAGAGTTGGCGACAGACAGTCATCACAGTAATCCCGAAAGCAGGTGACCCCATGCAGCCTCAGAACTACAGGCCAATCTGCACCATTCCCCTGCTCTACAAACTTTTTCAGCAAGCTTCTATACAATAGACTGCAGCCGCCCCTGGACAAACAACAGCCCCCAGACCAAGCAGGATTTCGCCCGGGACGTTCGACGCAAGATCACCTCTTCACTTTCCACATGCTTCGGGAGAGAGCTCGGGAATGGAACCAACCACTTTGGATAGCAACGCTGGACTTCAAGAAGGCTTTCGACACGGTCGAGCACGAGAGCCTATGGACCGCACTCACGAGCCAAGGTGTCGCACTAAGCTACATCACCTACTCCGGGAGATGTGTTCTGGCCAAACAGCCACGGTGCGGACAGACGCGACCAGCCGCCCATTCAACCTCCAGAGGGGCACAAAGCAGGGCGATCCCTTTAGTTCACTACTTTTCAACTCGCTTCTTGAACACATCATGCGTCCACTTGTCAACACATGGAAAAGCGCAACCAAGGCATCCAACTCGGCTTCAAGAAAGACTGCTCTCTCACCAACCTGCGCTTTGCCGACGACGTCCTTCTGACGAGCCGCACCTTACCGCGCTTGACGACAATGCTTGAACACATGGCCACAGCTGCACAACAACACGGCCTCCACATCCACCCGGACATGACGAAAATCCTGACGAATTTGACTGAGAGGACTGGGAGAGCACGGCAGCACAAGGTGAGCATCAACAGCATGGAAATCGAAATTGTACCTCACAGTGGGTCAGTCAAATACTTGGGACAGCAGATCAGCTTCCAAGACGCCATGCAGACCGAGGTACAACACCGGATCAAGGCAGGCTGGGCAGCCATCGCTGCTCGCAAAGAGGAACTCACAGCGAAGCACTACCCCTTGAAGCACCGACTCCGGCTTTTCGACAGCACTGTCACACCGACGGTACTATACGGGGCGGCCACTTGGACTCTGACCGAGCCTTTACGACAACAGTTACGATGCACCCAACGACGCATGTTACGAATGATTGTCGGCTCCCGACGACGACGCAACACCGCCATTACGAGACCGACATCCAGTGCGACCAACCAACGCGTGACTCAAGCGACGACAGAACCGCAAACCCACGAAGACGACACGCACGGAGAAGCAAAACGCCACCGACCGTCATCTACCCACCCAAACGCAGATACGAGCACGGCTAACATCCCCAGCACCGACAACGAGGAGAACGTCGCACCAGAGAGCATTGTCTTGGAGTCGTGGGTCGAATACATCAAGCGCACGACAAGACAAGCAGAAAGCCTCATGCACAAGCACAGTGTGATCGATTGGAATACGAGGCAACGGCGATTGGTGTGGAGATGTGCCGCGAGAGTGGCGAAGCAGTCCCCCGAGAATGGCCTCAATGCGTGGTCAACTGGCACCCGAGCCTCCATGCTTCTCAAAAAGGCAACAGGAATTCGGGAGGACAGCAGAAGCGATGGGATGACGACGTGCGTGATTTTCTCGTATCCCACGGTGTGCACGAGAGACCCGCCCGGAGCAGCTACGACGTGAACAACATCGATTGGCTTAAACTGGCGACCGACGATTCAACTTGGACTAAACTGGAGGCGCAATTTGTCACGTGTTCCACTCCTGATACTACTGTGGCGCCGGCCGCCTGAGTAAGCTTCCAGCTGGCCGGCCATGTCTGCGAGGCCACGGCCTCGCCCGCTCCGCCCTTAAGGGGCCCGGGCGATTGCCCGCACGAGCGTCCCATTCCATTCCATTCCATTCCATTCAGAAGGCTTCAGAGGCGCTCCTATGAGCTCGCAAGAGGCTCCCAGATGCTCTCCAGAGGCTCCCACAGAGCCCCACGAGGACCCCCCCTCCCAGGTATCGGAGGGCCCCCCCGCCGCTTCCCCGATGCCCCCGCTGGGAACAGCCTGCTGCAGCACGCGGCGCTGCTGGCACGACAAGCAGCAGGCTGGAGTTGCTGCTGCAGCTGTTGCTGCTGCAGCTGTTGCTGCTGCTACTGCCGATGGTGCTGCATCTGCTGCTGCTGCTGCTGCTGCTGCTGCTGCTGCTGCTGCTGCTGCTGCTGCTGCTGCTACTAGCGCTGCTCCAGACGCCGTCAGGATCATCAAGCAAGCAGCGCACCCTGAAGTTATAAGCAGCAGCGAGCGCGCGCTCAATCCTCTGGCACTCGTGGACGGTAGTCCACGGGTCAGCCCTAGTCAGCTACAGCGCTGGGATCAGAGCTTGCGAGAAAGGCGGGTGGTGTCTTGGCCACGGAGGCTTGGGAGGAGAGATTAGAGCACAGCATCCGCTGGGATCAGCGCGTGCGGCAAAGGCACGCAGTAGCAGCAGGCGTTGCTGCTGCTCACAGAAGTGATGGAGGAGCTTCAGCGATGGGACCAGCGCGTGCGAGAAAGGCGAGTAGCGGCAGCGGGCTCTTGTGTTGGTTTGCGAGATGTGGGTTGCGACGCTGGTACCCAATCGGATTTTGTGTTTCTAGTGACTAGTGACTAGTGAGATGCGCAAGGGAACATTAGAGTGAGCGCAGCGCCATCCACTACTGCGCTTGGTTTTGCACGAGCGCAAACATTGGCATCAGCGTTAGCAGGTCCATCGGAGGCAGCTCTGGGCTCTGGGTTCTGGGATCAGCGCATTCGCGAAATATCAGCCATTGGCAGTGCGGTCTGAAGGTGCTCACCGATATGTGGCATGAGAAGCAGGAGCTCGACTTCATTGGCCACGCTGCTGTAAGAAGCAGCCTCCTTCTCAGCAGCCTTCCCCCCCTTCCCCCACCC